ATAATCACGATTTTCGCATTCAAATCGCCAATCGNCAGACGATTTAAGTAATTTTTTCACAATAAAATCTTAGCTTTGGAGAAAACCGCACGAATTAATACGCACATTCAAAAACTCATTAACTTTAGTTTCAACGATGTTCAGAAATTTCTCGTTTAGATATAGAAAACTCCTACCAGATTGGGCCATAGATTTTACAAATTTTTGTATCAGGCCTTACTTAATGTGTCACGTTGGAATGTCACCAGCAATGGAATTCTGTAACTATTTTCTACACGATTTGTCGGATCGCAAAATTACGATTTTGTCGATAGCCTGAACGGTTTTGCGATTCTCTAACTCAGCTTCTGCGATTAATCAACAACGAAAATTTCCATTTTATTGAAGTGAAGGAAAGGGTGCACCACAGCTTAACAAAACGTCAAAATATGCGAAAAGCACAAAGAGGAATAACAAAAATCAATTGATTCCTTGTAGCAACTATTTTTATTAAAAGAATTGCAATGCATTAAAAAGTTTGCCAAATTAAAAACATGTTATGGTTTCCACTGTCAAAGCTGCGCTGCATGACAATTCACTTTGTAGAGGATCTCCGAATAAAAGAATCGTGGCGCTATCCTGGTTACTTAGCATTTGCCGCCAAAATCTGGGGATAAGGATCGCATATCTGTGTACAAATATAATGAGCTTTGTTGCTATAATAGTAAGTGAATAAAAGTTTACTTTCACCATTCGCTCATTGATAGAATGGGACTCATGATGGACACATGAGTACAATCGATAGCCGCAATAGTGCCTCCAACAAATGGACACGATGATGAAGCAAAAATTTCTCTAGCAGCTCTCCGCTCTATTTGCGTTATAGGAAATCTAACCTTCTCAGGAAATATCGAACGGTTGGTTGCATCTTTTATGCGATGACTCATGGGTATTCCCCATTGCTCTCCCTCGGCAGTGCAGTTGCAAAGAATAACAAGTCTGGCGTTAATCTAGAAAGTTTTCGAAGCTCAGTTGCGTTCAAGTGAAAAGTATTTTCCACTTAGTTATCGATTTGTCGAGTAGTTTGAGATACACCGAATATTGAAATCGTTAGAATTGTCGCTAACCCGTATTTCCGGTCTGAAAATCATTATAATACGATATCTCTGTACTCTACAGGTTTCACTGAAGGATCATTCGTAACATTTTTGTGCTACACTTGGATCACATTTACCTTGTTTAGTGACATTTTCTGTCTCTACTGTCTCGTGCGCCAATGAAACAGAAACATTCTTTATAACCAAGTTGGAGTCCAAGCGAGAGTGCGAACCCACTCGTCAGACAGCTGGAAAAAATGAATACTGCTTATGGTACTGATACTGTCTCAAACAGTTATGTACAATTTTGGTTTCGCGGATTTCGTTCATGTAATTTTGATGTAAATTAAATGGAATTCGTCGAGTCTGATCGTCATGCTACTACTGCAACGCTGGCCGAATACCTAAGCATTGCACGGAAAACAGTTTGGAGTCATTTGAGAAAAGCTGGATACACAAAGAAACTTTATGCATGGGTGCGATAAGAGTTACGTGGAAAAAATTTCTATATGCGAATCGTAACAAAATAGACCCATTTTTGGAGCATATGGCGATAGGTGTTGCAGAGTGAATCCCTTACATCAACGAAAACAGTCATGGTCGAAGGACAGTGAGTCGGAATAAAAGGTCTTTAAACCAGGATTGATGGCAGGGAAGGTTTTCTTGTGTATTTAATGGTATAACAAGGAATCATCCACTATAACCTGCCACCAAAAATCTCCCAGAAGCGCCTAGCTTTGGCCAACAGAAAGGGAACTGTGTTTCATCAGTACATTGCCAGTTCACTCACAACGAAAGGTTCTCATTTATTCGTCTTATAGTCGGAACCTGACACCAAGCTATTATCGTAATGTTCCTGCCTATACTCAATGATTTGGCTTGAGAAGTATTGGACTCGAAAGAAGACTTTGAAAATCGAATGCTCCATTTTTTTATGAATAGATGCAAGGGTTTGTATCAGAGAGGCACAACGACATTAATTTCGAAATTGACATAAATTGAATAATCCAAACTATGGTAAATAAAGACTTTAATTTAATGCAAAAACTATTTGCCTTTTGAAGCTTCATTAGGAACCACACGAAGAGAGAGAGAGAGAGAGAGAGAGAGAGAGAGAGAG